TTTTTATTCAACATAAATGAAAGTACATACTTGTTGAACGTCAAAAGAACTACCGCCAATTCACAAGAACTAGCCTCCGTCCTGAGAAGAATTGGCAAGAAAGTTAGCAGATAAACAATAAATAAAATAATAAAATAAAATAAAATAAAATAAAATAAAATAAAATAAAATAAAATAAAATAAAATAAAATAAAATAAAATAAAATAAAATAAAATAAAATAAAATAAAATAAAATAAAATAAAATAAAATAAAATAAAATAAAATAAAATAAATAAAAGAAATAATTCGTTTTTTATTAATAGGAACAATCACAAGAGTATTTTTATCTATAGAATTGATATTAGATTCAAAAGACACAAATTGTCCACTATGATCTGATGTTAACTGATTAATAATTTTTTTGTTAATCGGTGTTACATTTGTAAATATGTTATCTAAACATGTTGCCGATGTGGTCGTTGTCCTAGTAGGCTCTAAAAATAAGTTTGGGAGGTTATATGACTTTAACAGTGTTCTGAATCTAATAGTGGTATTTGTGTTTTCTAAAAGATTAATATTAAAATCACCACATACAAAAATTTGTTTATTAGAAACAGAAAGCTTCAGCAATACATTTTCCAAAATATTTTCAAAAGAATCATATAACGCATCAGGAGGTCTGTAGACGCAGACAACAATGAGGTGCTCAAGCTCAACACAGGAAATTTCAATAATTCTCTCAACAGAGAGGGCCACTACATCCTTTCGTTCCTTACATTTCAAACATTTACTAACGAGAATCAGTGAGCCACCGCGAATAGCGTTGTCTCTGCAGAAGGAACTTGACAACTGGTGATCATTAAAATTAAACAATAATTCATAATTTCTAAACCAGTGCTCAGTAACACAGAATATATTAATATTATGCATATTTAAAAACATTTCAATTTCTAGCTCTTTACCCATCATCCCTTGTAAATTTTGATGCACCAAATTTAATATGTTAATAATTGAAACGTTAACGTCTTTTGATGGGTATAATCTAGTTGTGTTAATTGGTTTGTAATTGCAAGAGTGTGACTCTTTTGTCTTATTAATTAATTTAAATTGGAAGCAGATTCCAAAGTCTAGTATAATATAATATATATATAATATATAATATAATATAATATAATACTCGATAAACGATTTTACTTTCAGCTTGTGACTGCACTTGCCCTTCAGGATGTATTAAAACGGATCCCTGTGCCTGCGATTTTCCGAAAGCTGGCTGTTGTTCGTGAGCGTCAGCCATTTTTTTGAACATTGGCAACACAGTGTTCGAATTCCGAATTGAAATCTGATTATTTTTAATCTGAGATAAATTTGTAGTCTCCTTTTTTTTATTAGGTTTTACAAATTGTAAGAAAAGTAATTTTAGATTATGTATCCTACCTACATAATTTTAATTGTATTTTCTAATTATGATTATTTCGAGATTAGGTAAATTTAATATATAGTTTTTTTACGTTTTATACAATACAGGTTTTTGTAATGATTTTGTTTTAATTTTCTGCGAATCCGTGACACGTGAATTGTTGTTCACAATTGCTTCCATTTCTTCAAATTTCATGCTTAAATTTGTATCGAACTTTGAGAGATATGATTCAAACCCGCAAACTTATAATTTGCATAATTACTGGTGGTAGGACGTCTTTTGAGTCCGCACGGGTAGGTATCACCGCGCTGCCTATTTCTGCCGTGAAACACTAATGCGTTTCGGTTTGAAGGGTGGGGCAGCCATTATACTGTAAAAACAGACCTTAGAGCTGGTGTCTCGAGGTGGGTTGCGGCATTTTACTTTGTAGATGTCCATGGGCTCCAGTAGCTACTTAACACTAGGAGGGCCGTGAGCTCGTCTACCAATCTTAGCAAGAAAAAGGTACCTACCGCCATCCTGTCTATTTCTACCGTGAAGCCGTAATGTTTCGGTTTGAATGCTCATTATTAATGTCATTAAGTAGACCACAATATCTCCTTAGTATCTATTGCTGCGTTTATTAATGTAAATACCACTAGACTTTGAAATCTATAAAGAGTATGAACTAGATAAGACTATCTAGTATCGTCATAACGGAAACCGTTAAACGTTAAAGAGCGTGTTGTAAACTTTTTTTTTATTGCCTACATGCGTGGACGAGCTCACAGTCCACCTGGTGTTAACTGGTTACTGGAGCCCATAAACATTTACAACGTAAATGCGCCACACACCTTGAGATGTAAGTTCTAAGGTCTCAGTATAGTTACAACGGCTGCCCCACCCTTCAAACCGAAACGCATTACTGCTTCACGGCAGAAATAGGCAGGGCGGTAGGTTACGAGCAGGTTTATTAAGTTAAGCGCTTAACGCGTGTGGAATTCTTTCCCGATCCTGCGGACAGAATGGAAAGCAGTCGACGTCGCCTCATACACGTCATTTCGGTTCCTCCCGATCCACTAACAGTGCTTTTAGGTACCTCAAGCACCGGTCACCGTCCTCGCCGAACCCGTCGCTTGCGACCAAGGGCTCGACGAGCGAATTAACCCATAGACACAGCCCACCGAGTTTCTCACTGGATCTTCTCAGTGGGTCGCATTTCCGATCCGGTGCTCTTGCTAGGGTCAGTATTAGCTTCACTCCGGCTTGAGCCCCGCGAGCTCACCTACAAACGTTAGGGTGGAGCTGAAATAGCCAAGGCTATCGGCATAGGTAGGAAAGAAAAAAAGTTAACAAATCAAAATCCATTTTATATAAGACCGTTTTAATACAACAAAACTATTGGTGTCGCTACTTGAGCCGCTGCATGACCGTCGAGTTGAGCAGGTTCGCCTGCGCCAGGGTCGCGGCGTCGTCACCCAGCTCCGCGCTCGGGAAGGCCGTCAGCAGACTGAATGGCCGCAGCTGGTACGCCGGCTCCGCTCGCGACACGAACTCCCTCAGCGCGCCGACCGTGTGGCTGTGGTTGAACCGGCCCGTGATGCGGGTGCCGTCGGCCAGTCGGAACTGCGGGCGGACGAGTGGATCGTGCGTTACGCGCAATGAGGACGCTAGTTTAAATCACGCGCTACCAAGTTGCAAACTCAGGGTATTGTATGATACTTAAACGAACACTATTGTATGAGTTGCGTACACTATTGTGTGAGTTGCGAACAGTACTATGTGAGTTGCGAACACTATTATGTGAGTTGTGAACGCTACTATGTGAGTTGCGAGCACTACTATGTGAGTTGCGAACATTACTATGCGAATTGCGAACACTACTATGTGAGTTGCGAACATTACTATGTGAGTTTCGAACACTATTTTGTGAGTTTCGAACACTATTTTGTGAGTTTCGAACACTATTTTGTGAGTTTCGAACACTATTTTGTGAGTTGCGAACACTATTTTGTGAGTTGCGAACACTATTTTGTGAGTTGCGAACACTATTTTGTGCGTTGCGAACACTACTATGTGACTATGTGAGCAGTATCGTTGGTTACCTGCAGCGTAGTGACGGGTTGCGTTTCGTCGAGTGTGACGGCGCTCTGTGCGGCGCGGAGGTTGGCCGCGCGGTCGGCCTGGTCGCCCGCCACGGCGGCTGTGGCGCCCACCGTGGGGGGAGTGGGACTGTTAACCACATTAACTTCAAATATATCGGTACGGTGTTTGAAACTGTTTTAAAGTTTCGTTTCGAGATCATCAGAACTATCGGCGTCTCCAATTTACCTAGTAGCGGACAGCCACCATGTCTTGAGCAAGGGTATCATCAACCCCTAAAATCTACTACTTACAATGGTTAAATCTGAAACGCAATTAATAGTTTCAATACCAAAAGCTCAAAAGAGCTTCCCTCCTTGGAAGTGGCATATGTTTAATGAACTTATTTGATATATTCGTATAAGGCGACGCGATCGTCTTAATAGCGTACGGTAGGCACAAAATGTTTCGAACTAAATACGTTTGCAATAACGTAATTTCTTACAAATCTTCTTTTAAATCGAACCCGTAAATTAATATATGCGTAATAAATAGCGAATAAATAATAATAAACTAATAAATTGCCGAAAAGCATTCATGTTTTGATTAATCTACACAATGGGACAACTAATCTGTAGTTAAATCGACATTGCCTTTATCTCAAGGCGGGTCCTTATTCGATTTACAACGTCTATTTTTTTTTCCTACCTATGCTGATGATAGCCTTGAGAGGCTATTTCAGCTTCTTCTTGACGTGTAGGTGAGCTCACGGGGCTCAAACCGGAGTGTTGCTAGCGCTGGCCCTAGCAGTGCTTTGCCGAATAATCTACCACCGGATCGAAAACGCGACCCACTAAGATCCGACGAGAAACTCAATGGGCTGTGTCTATGAGTTAATTTACTCGTCCAGCCCTTCATCGCAAGTGACGGGTTCGAGGAGAACGATGACCGGTGCTTGAGTATACGGTATATGTCTATGGGCTCCAGTAACCACTTAACACCAGGTGGGTTGTGAACTAGTTCACCNCCGAATAATCTACCACCGGATCGAAAACGCGACCCACTAAGATCCGACGAGAAACTCAATGGGCTGTGTCTATGAGTTAATTTACTCGTCCAGCCCTTCATCGCAAGTGACGGGTTCGAGGAGAACGATGACCGGTGCTTGAGTATACGGTATATGTCTATGGGCTCCAGTAACCACTTAACACCAGGTGGGTTGTGAACTAGTTCACCTATTTAAGCAATCAAAAAAATAAAAAAAAATGTTTATTGATTGCTATTACCTATATCATTAAATAAACAAAGTTCGATTAGAAGTTCGACAAGAGGATTGCACAAAGTGGGAATGAGTTGCTCGCTCCGGGAATTTCAATATTACAATAATTGTTACGTTATCAATGTAAAAATGAATTTAAAAAAAAAATCTAATATTTAAAAAAAGACATGCCCGCTGAGTTTCTTGCCAGTTCTTCTCAGGACGGAGGCTAGTTTTTGTGAATTGACGGTAGTTCTTTTTGACGTTCAACAAGTATGTACTTTCATTTATGTTGAATATATATAAAAATGAATTGCTGTTCGTTAGTCTCGCTAAAAACCGAAAACGGCTGGACCGATTTAGCTAATTTTGTTCTTGAATTATTTGTGGAAGTCCAGAGAAGGTTTAAAAGGTAGATAAATATGAAAATTCCCGGTATTAAATAAAAATAACAATTTTGTTTTACCTTTGACGTGTTCCCCGTCGGACGGATTCCTTTTGTTTGTTTTAAGTTTATTTTACACAAAAGTTTAGGTCTTTTATTTATCGATTGAGGCACTACGAAGTTAGTGTTGAATAAAAAAAAATTGATTTGATTTGATTTGATTGTGTGTTGTCTCGACTGAGATGAGTGAGCGTCGTGCATGCCGTACCTGCCCAGCATGTGTCCCTTCCCGGCGAAGGCCTGCGGCTTGACCACGTGTCGGGGACACTCCTCGTGTCTGCTGTCCTCGAGGCTCACCCGGACCGAGACCCCCTGCCCCGACAACTCCGACGGAATCTCACTAAGAACGTACAGAACAATTTTCATTTTGTAACACAATAAAATTTATCGTATTTATCATTAATGGGTCATCATCAATCATGATAGCAGACTTTGAACAGTATGGAGACGAAATGATTTTCGATTACCATGAGCATGGGTATAGGTAAAGAAAGATGAAGAGATGCAACATTGATTGATCCTTTCGTTGGGATGGGCCCTAGCACAAAATCGTTTGGTGTGTAGACGCTTGGTGTAGCAAAGCGTGTGTCTTGGTGGGTGGTGTTCTTATGTGTAGGTTTTTTTTATTGCTTAGATGGGTGGACGAACTCACAGCCCACCTGGTGTTAAGTGGTTACTGGAGCCCATAGACATCCACAATGTAAATGCGCCACCCACCTTGAGATATAAGTTCTAAGGTCTCAAGTATAGTTACAACGGCTGCCCCACCCTTCAAACCGAAACGCATTACTGCTTCACGGCAGAAATAGGCAGGGTCACAAGAGGTCCTACTACCAGTAATTACGCAAATTATAATTTTGCGGGTTTCATTTTTATTACACGATGTTATTCCTTCACCGTGGAAGTCAATCGTAAGCATTTTTTGAGTACGTATTTCATTAGAAAAATTGGTACCCGCCTGAGATTCGAACACCGGTGCATCGCTCAACACGAATGCACCGGACATCTTATCCGTTAGGCCACGACGACTTCAAAAGGTTCCGGTTTGCGCACGTTTAAGAATAAGATAGGCTACCATAGCCATATTAGAGCGCATGAGAGGCGCGGAAATTAGTTTTAAAGTTGTTAAACAGAAAATTTTGGTCGTCCTGGCCGAAACCGGCTTACAACCATGATGATATAGGTAAAGCTGGAAAATATATCCAGTAAAGTTTTTTTATGTCATCAACAGCATATTTTAGTCCACTGTTGGACATAGGCCCCTCCAAAGGCACCCCACTCGACCTATTCCTGGGCCTCTCGTCTCCATCCACATCTCACTGGGCGTCCTACACTACGTTAACCGGTTTCCACTCCATAACCCGCTAACCCCAACAGTTATCAGTTTTGCGCCGGATATGGCCGGCCCTGTGCCACTTCGGCTCGCTTATACGTTGAGCTCCGTCGGTAGCACTGATGGTGGGACGTCTAGTGAGTCCGTACGGGTAGGTACCACCACCCTACCTGTTTCTGCCGTGAAGCAGTAATGCGTTTCGGTTTGAAGGGCCGGGCAGCTGTTTTACTGTTAAGTGAGATCTTACAACTCACGTCTCAAGGTGGGTGACGGCGTTTACATTGTAGATGTCTATCGGCTCCGGTAACCACTTAAACTCAGGTGGGCCGTGAGCTCGTCCACCCATTTAAGCTATAAAAAAAAGCTTTGGTTCTTCGGCGAATGTCTTCGCTCTCCATACGATCCTTTAGAGACACCGAGCACAACTCATTTCATAATTCGCTGAAGGACTTTAAGCTTTCGGACCGGCCCGGACGTAAAAGTCCTTTTTTTTTTTTATTTAATAATTTGAATTATGTTAGTACATGCCAAACGGTTTAAAGAAACATTATAGGAAAATCGACAACGTCAATATTTATTTATTTATATTATTATATATTATGTCCTATATATATATAGTTATTGATAGTCTACCGACACAAACTTACCATTTATAGCGACGCAGTTATTTCCCTTACATTACCTTATCCGAATTATTAGGAAAAAGAGCACAGTTAAACAACAATAACGACACATCCCAATGTTTTAGATGCAACATAGAGCATCCGTTTCCTCGTCGCCTATCTATACGTAAATCTATTGAATCTATTGAAGTCGTCGTGGCCTAACGGATAAGACGTCGGGTGCATTCGTGTTGAGCGATGCACCGGTGTTCGAATATCAGGCGGGTACCAATTTTTCTAATGAAATACGTACTCGACAATTGTTCACGATTGACTTCCACGGTCAAGGAATAACATCGTGTAATACAAGTGAAACTCACAAAATTATAATTTGCGTAATTACTGGTGGTAGGACCTCTTGTGAGTCCGTACGGGTAGGTACCACCACCCTGCCTATTTCTGCCGTGAAGCAGTAATGCGATTTGGGTTTGAAGGGTGGGGCAGCCGTTGCAACTTTACTTGAGACCTTAAAACTTATATCTCAAGGTGGGTGGCGCATTTACGTTGTGGATGTCTATGGGCTCCAGTAACTACTTTACACCAGGTGGGCTGAGAGTTCGTCCACCCATCTAAGCAATAAAATATATATATATATATATATATCTTGTAATTCCACAGTGTCGGTTTTCGGGGGACCGTGTCGACAGCTAGCCCCCCGCACTGCGCCGTGGAGGGGGGGTCCGGTGTCGCAGTGGCGTACGTACCCGCGGCGTATGCAGCTCAGGAACTCCGCATTCTCCGGGTCGCTGTAGTGGCGCAGCGGACCCGCGTCCACCGTGAAGCCTTCGCGGTACAGACACAGTCTCACCAGTCTCACTTGCTCCTGTAATAACCAAACGATATTTCATACTTTGACATGTTAGCTTATCGTAATCAAAGCGGCGACAGCATCGCGGCAAAAATAGGCAAGACCGTGGCACCGGCTCGGGTGAACCCACAATATGATGTCTCTATTTAAATTCAACGTAAATGTACTTTATTTTAACGTTTACTCGCAGCAAAACGGTATATTACAGTTATTTCCACATGAAATATTTGGATTTTTTTTTCTGTCATATTTCACGAATCAAGTATAATTTTTTTTTGTAGGGATTTTATGACCTGGTAACTAAGACCTTTAAGTCACGTCTTATTTTAATTTATATTCTTATTTTTAAGAAAAATGATAATATGGAGTGAAATGAAATGATGATTAATTTTAGACATTAATCAACTGGAATGAAATTAAATGAAATGAGATGTTATGGGATGAAACATAATTTCAGTAAAATGGTGGTCATTTACTGTCTTTTTTCAGTGGACTTTTCGGAGGATCCCGAGAAGTGATGTCCAGCGGCTTTGTTTAATTTTCCCACATTTGTGCACTTTCACAGATATGAAACCGTTAATAAACCACCGTTATTACACATTTAAACATAAAAAAATACTAAATAGACAAAATAAAACAAATCACACAACTTCACTCCTCGCGTTCCCGCCAAAAAGTCGAATTAAGTATATTACAAGTAGTATTACTACATGTTTATCCAACAGCGCTCTTTTTTTTAAAGAAAGTGTGACCTGGTACGAGGGCTGCACTAAAAGTATCGGGAATGAAATATTTCCACTGTTCCTGTCAAATTAAAATCTTTTTAATTGAAAACTCCTTGGTTTTAAAAATCGAATACTATTTATTTATTTAAAAAAAGATTCTCGGTCTTGTCACGAGGTTTTGTCAAACTTGTTTAGTCGTTGAGAATATGGAATTGACTTGAGAAAATTCAAGAGCGATGATTTATTATGACTTTCGAAGTGGTTTAACACAAAAACAGTGTGTTGACCGGATGATTTCTGCATTTGGTGATGAAGCCCCATCCAAAACCACAATTTATCGCTGGTTTGCTGAGTTTCAACCTGGACGTGTCAAGCTCAATGATGATCCCCGTCAAGGTCGTCCAAAAACTGCAGTCACCCAAGAAAACGTTGATGCTGTGCGTAAGCTGATTGAGGAAGATCGACATGTGAGATACCGCGAAATTCAGGCAACTTTAGACATTGGCATCAGTCAAATACAAATAATCTTGCATGAACAATTAGGTGTAAAAAAGTTATTTTCCCGATGGATACCGCATTCGCTCTGTGAAGAGTAAAGAGCGGCTCGCGTTACTTGGTGCGTCAGAACTCTCGAAAGATTTCACGCAGGATACTCAAATGCTGTATACAACATTGTATCCGGTGACGAATCCTGGATATACGCGTACGAACCCGAAACAAAAAACCAGTCACGAGTTTGGGTGTTCGAAAATGAGTTAAAGAGAAAGCGAGAGAAAAGAAAAAAAAACAAAAATTGTTCGTTCACGGAGTGTTGCAAAAAAAATGGTGGCCACGTTTGTCTCCAAAACCGGCCATGTTACGACTATTCCTCTTCAGGGACAAAGAACGGTTAATGCAGAATGGTATGCTAGCATTTGTTTGCCACAGGTCGTTTATGAACTCCGTAAAGAGAACTGCAACCGCCGCATCATCCTCCATCACGACAATGCGAGTTCTCACACCGCGCACAGAACAAAAGAGTTTTTAGAGCAAGAAAACATAGAATTATTAGACCATCCGCCGTACAGCCCCGACCTAAGCCCTAATGATTTCTATACTTTCCCTAAAATAAAGAATAAATTGCGTGGACAGAGATTTTCATCACCTGAAGAAGCTGTGGACGNGACACAACATTGCAGAAATCATCCGGTCAACACACTGTTTTTGTGTTAAACCACTTCGAAATCATAATAAATCATCGCTCTTGAATTTTCTCGAGTCAATTCCATTTTCTCAACGACTAAACAAGTTTGACAAAACCTCGTGACAAGACCGAGAATCTTTTTTTAAATAAATAAATGGTATTCGATTTTTAAAACCAAGGAGTTTTCAATTAAAAAGATTTTAATATGACAGGAACAGTGGAAATATTCCATTCCCGATACTTTTAGTGTAGCACAGTGGAAATATTCCATTCCCGATACTTTTAGTGCAGCCCTCGTATATTGAATGTTAAACCTTAGACAATTAACCAAACTTTCCGTACAATATTAATTTGGAGATACAGTTTTATAGCTCTAGATAAGCAGATGAGTTCGTGACCCACGCAGTTTCAGCGGATTATTGGAGTTCACAGATATCACAACGTGAATGTCACCATTCACTTTGATACACCAGGACGAATTTTCAATTATTTTGGATAATGGCTGTTCTATATTTAGAAGTAGTCTTATTTTTGTTACTGCCTTTCTCGTAGACGAGCATGCGGTCCACCAGCTGACGTCAGCAACGGCAGTGGCATAGACGTTGTCAAAAATGCATGCCTGACTGCTTCACGAAAGAAACAGACAAAATGGTCGTACCAAATCACTCGGTCTCCTAATACCTCCTCTCACTAATGGATCACTTTACAAACGACAGGCTAAGGACATATTTAAAATGATTTCTGAAATTGAGACGCCACGAACCCGGCATGCATCACAGCTGCACATTTCGAACAAGACACATCTCATGTATATTCATGAAGGTAAGACGGCCACAAAACCGCCCATACACGTACCGCACAGATTAATTTCGGTCAGCCTGTTAGCATTCATCCGAACGAACCAATCTAAGCAAACTGAATTAATTATTGTGCCAAGTTTTTTTTTGGGTAAAATAATTTAATGATTTTTCAAAGGTAATCAAAAATTTTTATTGATGACTTACGTGTTACTGGTATTACTGGTACTTATTATTGGTACTTTTATTACTTGTGGTAGGACATCTTATGAGTCCGCACGGGTAGGTACCACCGCCCTGCCTATTTCTGCCGTGAAGCAGTAATGCGTTTCGGTTTGAATGGTGGGGCAGACGTTGTAACTATACTGAGATCTTAGAACTTATATCTCAAGGTGGGTGGCGCATTTACGTTGTAGATGTCCATGGGCTCCAGTAACCACTTAACACCAGGTGGTCTGTGAGCTTGTCCACACATCTAAGCAAAAAAAAAACTTAATATGATATGCATATGGACCGTGAAAGCTATTTATTCGCGGGGTATACGTTTCGTGAATATGCCGCGAATACAGAAATCATAATTATGGTAAAGTGCGCTTACAAGTTAGAACAAGTAGCAAGGAGATAGAACAGACTGCCCAAGACCGATGAAAATTTAAGGATTTGATTCGAGCCCTACACCTCAGCAGAGGGTAATAGGAAAGAAAGAAGCGCTTACAACGGATACTCGGTCCGATAAATACATACTGGAAGCCTTTTTATTAATGCGCATGTACCGATTAGATCCGCGAATAAAGAAATCTTTAACTGCGGATAAAGGAATTGGGTCGTAATTTTTTTTATTCGCGAATAGTGAAAAAGCGAATGAAGGAAGCGCGAATAAGGATCTTTTATGTAAATGATATATTTTTTGACGTCGACCAAGTCGCCATAAATGGTCTAGCTTTTTTGGTACCACTGCCTTCCAACACCGTTTAAGTTCTAGTTCCATTCGAATAATTGCTTTTGTATCTGTATTTTTTTTATTGCTTAGAAGGGTGGACGAGCTCATAGCCCACCTGGTGTTAAGTAGTTACTGAGCCTATAGACATCTACAACGTAAATGCGCCACCCACCTTTCTTATATAGAGATATAAGTTCTCAATATAGTTAGTTACAACGGCTGCCCCACCCTTCAAACCGAAACGCATTACTGCTTCACGGCAGAAATAGACGGGGTGGTGCTACCTACCCGTGCGGACACACAAGAGGTCCTACCACCAGTAATAAATAATGTATGCCTTTGAAACCAGAGAGCTTAGGGTACTTCATGGTAGATATTACATCAAAATAGTCGTAAACAATACGGAATCACAGGATGTGCTATTTCAGAGCCGCTGAATTCATATTATCGTATCTATTAGTTAGTATATCTATACTAATATTATAAAGAGGAAAGATTTGTTTGTTTGTTTTGAATAGGCTTCGAAAGTACTGGACCGATTTGAAGAATTCTTTTTCCATTAGAAGCCGACATTGTCCCTGATGAACATAGGCTACTTTTTTTTGTTTTGTTTCATGTGTGTTTTAATGTTTCCGAAGCGAAGCGAGGGCGGGTCGCTAGTTTATTATATTAACATCACGCAGAAGCTGTTGTATTTTCATGAAATTTAACAGTTTTAAACATCCATTTTGTACTTAAACTATTCGCGAATAATCATCGCGTGATAACAGTGACGGCAATCGCATATCTAAACTTTATTTTCACAACAAATTTAAGCTTATCAGTACATATTACAAGCACAAAGTTGTTTATTCAGATTTATGTACAAGATTCCATGAAGTCATACTGTATACAACAACTGCGACATTGGGTTATTCAAGAAAAGAGCATATTCTTACCTGAAGGGTAGGCAACGCACTGGCGTAAACGCTGGTGACCGTGGGCGGCGGTGAATCACTTACCATCGGGTGACCCGTCTTGCTCGTTTGCCTCTCGTTGTTGTAAAAAATAAATAAATATATAAATAAAAAATACTAGATTTTGTAAAAGACGACACATTCTAACGTAATAAAATATTTAAGCACACAAATAAATTTCTCTAATAAACCATAGGAGAGAATAAGCAAAACCCATTTTCACCACATAATTTTCCTTAGCGATCCAAGAATCTTTATCTATACTTAATATTATAAATCTGAAGAGTTTGTTTGTTTGAACGCGCTAATCTCAGGCACTGCTGGTCCGATTTGAAAAATTCTTTAATGTTAGATAGCCCATTTATTGTGGAAGGTTATATGCTATATAACATCACGCTAAGACCAATACAAGCG